GGGAGCAGAATAGGCAATGGACGAAGTCCACTGCTGAGGGAGCAGCGGGCGGGTCAGGAGGGGTCTGCTGCCCCCTGGGGGTCACTCCCTGGCCGGGGATCGAACTGTCCTGTGCGTGTGAATGTCACTTACCCAAATAGCTTTGTGTGACCACTCCTCCTTTCTCCCTCTATTTTATTTCAATCAGAATCTGCGTTTGGGGGAGATGTAATTCACAGGCCATAAAATGCACCCCTAAAAGGGTACAATTTGATGAATTTTACTACTTGACAAGGCTGTGCAGCCATCGCTACAATCTAATTCCACAACATTTATCAAAAATAAATGTTCTGGACCATTAGAGTTGTCCCTCGGTCCCCTCACCCAGTGCCCACTGACCTGCTGGGATTTGCCTGTTGCGGACACTTCACACAATGCATGATCTCTGCTTCTCAACATCACGTCCTCAAGCTTTTCTAACTCAACATAATGCCCTCAAGTTTCGTCCGGGTTGCAGGCGTCAGGACTTCATGCCCACTGGGCCTGGGTCGTACCCCAGCGCACCAAAGCCTGGACCACACTTCACTCTCCACTGGTCCGCTGATGAGACTTGTGGCTGCTACCCACTGGCTCAGAAGTTACTTCTCATTGCTCCTCTTAAATCTCCACGTTTTGGGCTATTTTGAGGCACTTTGTTAGGAAGACTCATCCATACTGTCTTGTGCATGCTGTGTATCCCCTCCAGCTGCACCTCCACCAGCAATGGACCGCAGATCCCCAAATCCCCACAAGGCAAAATAATGAAGCTATGAACCTGACTTCCCTTCTTTTTGACACTTGCAACAGCATCCTGCTCTTGTGCTGGCCATCTAATCAGTGGATCTTCTACTATGTCTCTGATGATAGCTGTGAGGTTGTTGGTGTGTAACTGGGCGACACCCAAAGACCTCAAATTATTACGGGGTGCATGCTCTGGAAGGGATTCAGGTATCCATAGGCACGAAGGCAAAAGAAGCAGACTTAGTGTGACGGATACTTAATAGAATAAGTGTGCACAGAAACAGAGGAGAGACTAGTCCTAATACTAGTTTCCCGATGACCCCCCCCAAATTACCCACTCCCTCATGGGAGTGGCCCAGAGTGGGGTCAGTGAGTCCTGAAAGGTCTAAGCCACCTTCTGGCAAAAAGCATGGGATAACAGTTAGGCAGGCCCCAAAAAGCTGGGGCCAACGGGAAGAGTCAGAATTTCCACCTGTACCAAACAAGCCACCGTGAAGTCAGGACAATGGCGGCCATCGTCTCTGCCAAGAAGTAGGAGCAGCCTACTTCTCTCACCCACATCTCTTCCAAGTATCTCGACATGTCTCTCCTTCACATAGCTCTCCCAAGTCTCCTCTCCAGTAGTACCAGGATGCGAGTCAGGCTGGAGAAGTGAGAGAGCGTGAGCACACACATGTTCAGTCATAAATCAAACATGTCTGCTTAACTCTGCTCCTCCTTCCCAGCATTCCCTATTCCTCATTCCCAGGGCATACTGGGAGTTGTAGTCCTCTGTGCCCTCAGCGTGGAGATGGGGGTGGACTCTAAAAAGACAGGAGATGGCATCACTCAGGACACCATTCAGGGGCCCAGAGTTTTTGCTAGTTCTTCCAACAAGACTGTGTTGCTTTGGTTTTTTCCTTTGCTGTCAGTGACAAGTTTTCTGTTGTTGTTTTTTTAATCCAACGCAGCCATTGTCGAGAAAAACTTAACAAGTTTATTTATAGTTGTCATCAAGCTGAAACTGTTTACCGAAACATTTAGATTTACATTAATGCTTTATGTCCCTGCATTGATGTTAAAAATTCACACACAAACGAAAATGAAGAAATTGCCAAGACTGATTTCTGTCCTCTATGTTTCCAGTATACGCAGGTACCTTTTGACTCTGTGGGGGGAAAATATCAATGTTCACAGCTGCCAATAACAGGAAGAAGAGGGAAA